GTGTTCAACAATATCCATGATTAATATTCTCCCTGATAGTTATACAATCTGATCATGTTATTGCCTACGGTTTACAATAGAGCTATGAGAGTCCCGTGTATTGTAACGCATGTAACAACCTCACAACAAGGGTCGAGCTCCCAATATCGCTTGTTTATATGATTAATGATGGTCAGTGGACATTGCGCTGGATACCGTCATCAGTTTTAAATCTCATTTGGGAAGTGACACTCATTTTCACAATCACCATTGAATGCTTCGTGCGTTGTAATATTAAAAATTAGTTTTCCAATCAAATTGAAACAGATGTTTCCTTGAACGTGTAACGCAACCAGTATAAAGTTATTTTTTGTGTATAACGACGTTACTTTGAAAAATATGTACTTAAATTACCGATAAGTTAGTTGGACTTTAAATAAAAATTAAATACAGTGACTGGATTGAAAATTGAATACTGATAGCTTAAAATATATAACCAATACGTCTAAATAACCTTGCTTACAAATTAATATTCAATTTTTCACTCATTTTATTCATTTTATTTATTAATGAGGATCAAAATGCCAATTACTATTATAAATGTATGTTGAGATTGTATTATTATTTAATCAATTTAAATGTATTTTATATCATTATCATGGGGTAATATAATGGGGTTATTATATTATTTTAATGTAATATAATGTATTACCATAATACATTATATTATGGGGTTATGGATTGTAACAGACTAGCCTTATGTACTCTAAGCTAATTTTATATTAATATTTAACCTGTACAGTTATCTCAAGTTCAATAATAATAATTGAAATCATTCGTGTCATTGTTTATGTTAAAATCAAATATAATGGAAACGAGTGCACCATGTGATTTATAAAAGTCAGAACGCGATGTCAAATCCACTGATATATTGCCAGACCTTTGATATTCGGTGTGAATATACTGCGGATACATGTCCAAATTGTTCCCTTACTTTTGGGGGAAGATTTGTGTTCATAAACTACGTCAACCAACCAAAGCTCTTTTTTTAAATTGGATATATTGTAAGATTATACTGCCAACTTTTCATAAAACGGATTTAATATTTGTAAATTTCAAACTTCTTCATTAAAGAGTTTGAAGAATTTGTAGCATTATTATAAAGTTGTTGTTTATTTTTAGAAAATCATAAAATAATAAATAGTAGTTTGTGATATAATCTTTTAATCATTTTGATTCATACATTCATTATTGCTAATACATCAATACTTACATATTAGTCACTATAGTTACTAAAAAATCAATTCATTTAAAAAAAATTTTATTCGCTCAAATACATTCAACATAAATATTCACATAAAATGCGAACAAGTTTCATAAATTTTGAACGTTTAGTAAGCCATACTGAGCAGTCAATAGGACATTCAAACTAAGTTGCTATGTTGTTCTCAGGGTTAAAGAATTATTTCATTACAGCAAAGTTTAAATTTAAACTGGCTTTAAAGTTAGGTGGTTTCAGCATTAGTACAGATTGCTAAGGTCTAGCTATACCTTGGTTAACCTAGTTATGCTGTTGTTGGATTGAGTTTAACTTAAAGTAAAATATTGTTTCTAACTACTTTAAACGGAAAATTAAAGTTATCAAGTTGTATTGTTTAAATACGACCAATTAACTCAACTGTAACAACATTCCATGTTGAATTTCAATAAGGTCTGGAAATTGCATGCAATTTACTTAAAAAGTGTAAAACTATGTTTAACTTTCTAAGCCACACTATTCTATTAGGACAATTAAATTTTCTTATCAAAGTCTTAATTATCATATTCAACTTACACTATGGTAGTAGCATTGAGTTAAAAACAGACTGGAAAGCAATTGAGGACGACATTCAAGAATTATTTTAACTCCTCTAAATTATTCCCTCGGACTTTTCTGTAGCAGAGCTGTTTTGAGAGCAATTTGCAACTCATACATTTGCGGAATAGTCGCTTTACGACTCTGAGATGGAAAATATCTACGTACAATATTACCAAATGGAAAGGGTAAATTTCGCCTAACTTCTTCTTTATTCGAATATAAATTACGTATTTGAAATTCTATTCTAAAGTAACTTTTTTAGGTAAGTTAAGTTAAAGTCCGTATTGAATTGGTCTTTGCTGTCCAAGAAGACGCATGAGCTCCCTTTGAACTCAATCTTTAGGGAACAGATTGCATAAGATCGAACATGATATACCTGTTGAGACCCTTAAAACTAAAAGGCTGTAAGTATGTAAAATAATATAGACTAAAATCTATATGAGCTACGTATTTACTTATAACATCTAAGACTTCAAATGTTATTACTCTTTTATAACTTTTTTAATGGGCACGTTTGATTGATGGTTATATTAGTTCATAGCTTTTTAGAAGGTTTCATTATAAAAAATAAACCTAGGTACAACGGTACATCTGATGTGTGTTGCCTCTATTCCTGCAAAATTTCATTTTAATAGGTTCAGTAGTTTTTACTTGATTTTCTTCACTTTTTCCAATTCATATTATTAGCTAAGATAAGATAAGATTATGTTTGATCTGTGTAATTATCTATACAGTGTGTAAATTAAGTCTTGAAACAAATCTGTATTTTTAAAACCTAAATAGATAGAAATATTCTGTTTGTTGCAATAATTGTTAACAAAGGTTCCCCTATTGTTTAAATCAACAATATTTTTTAACCCCTTTAATAGGGTAGGGGGTGGTGGTAACTTATGTTTTTTTAACCCCAAAACCTATTGAGTGACCCCTCATTTTAAAGGGTTTGTCAAAAGAAACACAATGACGCAAATCCGAGGTGAATATCTCACCCCTAGCCAAAATGAGGTTATTCCAAAATGGGTGCTTTTCACATTAATAAAATTTTGAATACCCACCATTTAGGCTAGGTGTTAAATATCTACCTCGGATTTGCGTCATTGTATTTCTTTTGACACACCCTTTAAAATGAGGGGTCACTCAATAGGTCTTGTTGTTTAAAAAAAAATAAGTCACCCCTACCCCCTACCCTATTAAAGGGGTTAAAAAATATTGTTGATGTTACAAATTGTGGAACCTATGTAACAATCAACGCCAAAAACAGAATATTTCTATCTATTTCGGTTTAAAAAATGCAGATTTGTTTCAAGCCTTAATTTACACACTGTCTATTAATAGGCAAACATGTTTTTTTAAACCCTTTTCCTCAGCTCGTGTGCATCGTAGGGAAAATCTACGCATAATGTTGGAAATATATATCTTGTATGTGTGCAGAATCCCTTTATAAATTAAAATGGGCTCAAAAATAAGCAAAAAAATAATTTAATTTTTTTTTATTAACATGGACCGTATGGGTAACCACGCTGGTGACGAAATAACAACGAAATATAAACAGAAAATCAAAACTAATGGAAGAAATTCCAATCACATGTTTTATTTACAGCATTGGGGGGAAAGAGAATCCTGTTCATTACATATTTTGGTCAAGTTTTCGACCACTAGACGACCTCTAGTATAATTTAAAACTTGCCATAAATTAAACAAAGTTAAACTTTAGTCAAAACTGGACAGAAGTTCTTTGACTAGCCAAGCAGAACCTTGACACAGACGTTTAAACATCGGCTACAAGCTAGTCTGTAATTTTTTTCTTAAGTGGCTTAAAATAGGACCCTAATTTTCAAGAAATAGTTTTGATTATATTTGCGCAGATCGTTGTTTTAACAAGTCTCTCTTGTTATGTTTACGAGAAGATCTTGTGTCAATCACATATTAAATATTTCCAAATAAACAGATAAAACGTCATACCCTAATTACTATGAATTAAAATACGTATCCCGTTCCTTTTGAATTGTTGCAGTTGCAATACAGTACCTCTAAGTTACAACATTAGGTTTGGTTTATATTTTTATCGTATTCGCGAAACAAGAATAACATTAAAATGAAAAAGTTTAGTCAATAAAATTTAATTGCCATGCTCAGGCAAAATGAATAGATGTCACAGAAGTTGTTAAATTAGATCATTTCAAGACAGACACTCAAAACCAAGTTCAAACTCCTAAGTGTTGTTCACAATTACATTCTTGAAGCTCAGTCAACGTTATCTGCTGAAACTAAGTTAAAGAGGGTTTCTTCAGCTTGTTTAACAAATGAAACATTTTCTTGTGTTCAGACATTTGTATTTTTGTCTTTGACTTTTTTTCTTTGACTATTCTTTAGTAGTGTTACGTTTATCTTTTCCTGAATTCAGAGCTTGGTAGCATCGCCTTGATATTATTCAGCTAAGTGTAAAAAGTTAGATTTTTTTCTATTATAGGAAAATAAAGGTAAAGAAACTAATACAGTACAAAAAAATAAGTATATCCCAGATATCAACCGTTCTGGTTGATAAATTTATCCCTAACTTAATTGCGAAACAAAATTACATCTTAAAGAATGGGTAGTATAACCCATTCTTCAATTATTATACTTTATATAAATTGTTAAACTTAAATAGTACCTGGTATCCAAAAATACAACTGTTTGTTATCCTAATACATAGTGGACAAAAAATCGAATTATTTGAAACACTGTTGCAAAGTTTAAAAGTAGACCTCTGTGTCCATCTTTTGCATGAGGGCCTAACCGCAAGTTAAGTAGACGATCTTTTATTAAATAACGTAATGTTGATGAGAGTTACCTGAAAAAAAAACAAAATAACTAGTATTCTCTTTCAGTATTTAATCACCTTAAAGATAAGGAATCAAATGAAAGTTTCTACAATATCACCATTTGTTGGTTGCCGCTGTCATTTTTGCCATCTTGTTGCTGTTTCTCATTTTTGTTTTGATATTAACTGATTCATTTTTATTCACTCAACTATTATTGTATAACTAGCATTAAGGAAGTCTTGTATGTTGTTGCATAAAATTGTACCAAATATCAAAATGAAGCTAGGTCCATTGGAATGTAAAATAAATAGGGAACGGTTCAGTAAAAATTCTATAGTATTAAATTGATTTTATTGGCTGTACTTTTTAGACATACTAATTAGTCTTGCAATTGCATTTGTTTATTACGTTACATTATACGGTGGTCATTCAACATATAGACTAGATGAGCCCAGAATATCTGTCAGCTGTCTGGAAGTAAATGACGCATTTATATTTCGATTGCCCGCAATTTTTGGAACTATACATTCCGTTAGTGTAACCAACTCGTTTGGCATAACATCCCTGAAAAACAAATTACATAATGATTTCAACCAAGGAGTTTAAGTGAAATATTCAAATTCAAATATGACAAGAATTTTGCAACTAAATAATATTAAAGAAGGGTTATTTGGAAAAGTATTGGAGTAGGAGAAGTAGCTTTTCTGAGAAGATTGAGTCCAGGGAATAATAGATACACAATAAAAGAGCATAAAAAATAACACTGATTTTCCCTCTTGATGTAAAACTTCTTCAGAAAGTAGGTTGAAGGGAAAATAATAATTTTATTTCTTTTCAACCTTGTTTTTAGTTCCATCATGAGGATGAAAAATCAGTGATATCAGTGTTTTATTCTATTATTGCCTACCTATTAGCTTCAGGACTCTAATTTTCTCGGGTAAGCATATTAACAATCTGAAATGTCCCGCAAAATACACTGCGACTGTCATTAACAGTTTAAACTTTGTTTTATACAATGGTTAGTTACATGAAAAAATTTCTTTTTGATTGAATTAAATAGTGTTGCTTATTACAAAATGTATATACAATATACACAAATACTCAATTGAAAGGGAAATTCCTACTCAACCGTCATACAATCATACATTCAACGATTCAACACTCACCTATGCTTCTTCAAAATTGGCCTAACCAAGCCAGGCCCTTCCATACAGAAGATACAGTGGGACAACATTATGTCTAAAGGGTTCTGGAAGGAAAATGACACGGTACATTCTTGTCCAACTTTTGGCACCCCCTTTACCTAGAGAATTGATCAAATAGCATAGTTATTCATTTATTTAATTTTACAACGCTTCAAATCAGCTTATTCCAACTACATTGTAGCATTAAGTATGCACAAAGATTCTTTACCAGAGTAATTCAAGAACATAATAAACATAACTAGGAAAAATATATGTTTTCTATGTTGGCAGTATTGAAACATTAAAACTCAAGATAAAAATATAATAATTACAATATAATAATTAAATACGATTACAACAAGGACTATGCATAATATTTTTAATTTATGTATTTTCGAGATAAAAATTCATTTTACTTCATTTTTCATAATTTTAACATTATTCATGTTTCATAATGTTATTTGATGTTCACATCAGTAACAAACCAATAGTCAGAGACATCTCTAACAAGAATTAGCTAAATCATAGTTTTACCTCAAGAGTTAGTTTTGGTTTGATCATCTGAAAGTCGTCCTCTTCACACCATTTGATCCCGGACTCCTTTATTTCACCAAGGGCCAATACTTTGATCAAACTATGATCCACGAGTTTATCAACGTATTCCACGGGCTCTCCTGAGAGCACTAAGGCGTCCTCTGTGGCAGAAATTTGTATTTAGATAACAAAAAACAGGCAAAAATCTATTTACTTTTGACCCAGGCATAAATACGTTCACGTTAGCCATTAGCCTAAAACTATTCTGTGTTAAAAGTTCCTTCAGTAAAATTGTTTATAAGCTGGTAGGAACTTCGAAAAGTATGCTTTTAAGTGATCAACCCTGTTCTATAATACGAGACTGTAATATACAGGGTGGCTGGTCATCAGTGTGACAAACTTTTTTTGGCGTAAGTACAAAGTAAATGCAGTGTAATGATGCATATAAAAGGGTCCAAGTCCAAAAATTAGCTTCCCAAAGAATTATTTTATGTTTTCTAAAATAACTATGTTTTCAAACTTAATACAGCTATTTCTCAATTACCTGTAAATGGATTTGAGTAGACAATGTCATTTTCGTGTTCTACATTAAATTTTGAATAACAATAATAGAAAATCACAGAGGATCAGTTGTAAAAACTCCATTGTAAAATAGATTCAAAGATAAAAATTTAGATGTTTGATAAAAATTAAAAAAAAAACATTGGTCTATTGTATTTTTTCACACCCTGTATACAAGTAAGTGTCCGAATATGTTAAAAACTGCGCCATTTTATAAGCTTTCTAACCATATGCTACACTATTGAAGTTTAGATATTCTGTTGTTTGTTTTAGTGGTTTGAATACCAGAAAACAGGGAACTTTTTTACTGTTTTTACTGTTCAAGCTGAAACAAAAATACAACTTTTGCTTAATACATGCTGGCTTTCTATGTTTTTAACGTTCAAGACACCCTATTTTCTGGTATTCAAACCACTAAAACAAACAACAGAATATCTAAACCTCAATAGTGTAGCATATGGTTGGAAAGCTTATACAATGGCGCAGTTTTTAACATATTCGGACACTTTCTTGTATACAGGGTGTGAAAAAATACAATAGACCAATGTTTTTTACATTTTTATCAAACATCTAAATCTTTATCTTTGCATCTATTTACAATGGAGTTTTTACAACTGATCCTCCGTCATTTTCTATTATTCTTACTCAAAATTTAATGTAGAACACGAAAATGACATTGTCTACTCAAATCCATTTACAGGTAGTTGAGAAATAGCTGTATTAAGTTTGAAAACATAGTTATTTTTGAAAAACATAAAATAATTCTTTGGGAAGCTAACTTTTGGACTTGGAACCTTTTATATGCATCATTACACTGCATTTACTTTGTACTTACGCCAAAAAAAGTTTGTCACACTGATGACCAGCCACCCTGTATATCTCGAAATTCAGCGGAAGGATTTTGACAAAATTTTGGAATTAGGGACCTATAGCCACAAAAACGTGATTAGCGACAGCCAGTACCTCAGGAAAATTCTTATTTCACTACATACCTCATTTGAAAATATAAACATTTAACATTGGCCTTATGGATCAAAATCATAACTTTTTTTGTTTAAAATTGCATACCACTACATAGTACAACATTACAGAGTTGTTTCTTATTTCAGCGATCAAATGTCTATAGTTAGTAATAAAAATGTTTTTCGTAAATTATAAAATGTGTCTGTTTACGATATTGTTTTAACGATAATACCCAATTAACCACAACAGAGCAAGGCTTGGTCCCCCGGTACTATAATATGAAATGTTTAAATACTTATAACGATAAGTTTATTTGGATATTGGTTCTTACAGTAACTTTTATAATTAGTCTTACAATATTTACAGTTTTTTCTACTGTTTTTTTTTTAGTATTCTTACCTTGACCTGTTTTGACCTATTCTATTATTTTATCTCTTTACCATCACGCCATTTTACTGTTTGGCTATTTCACTCTTAGATCATATTTTTCCTATTTCAGTTTCAAGGAAATTAATTCTTACTTTGACCTGGCTGAAGTGTATACGTATTCTTCCTCAAACCAATAAAATGTGCTTTTTCACCATTACTAAGCACTGAGTAGGCTGATACAGACACAGAAATACTGAGATCCCTTTGACCTTTATTCTGAAAAAATATACATTTATTATCTTTTTACCAGTCGCAAAAATGATTTTGTTTGGTACAATAAATGCAATGTTCAGTCTAGTCAAACGTTACTCAAATTAGCTTAAGTGACAGTAGTGTTTGTTATTTTCCAACAGAAGATTTTCCCTTCAATTCCTGTAACATTCTAAGTAACTTAAAAAGTATTAAAATCTGTCAACTTAAATAATTAATGTATACAATCCACTTTTTCCAATGTATAGTACCTGACCGTCCTTCAAACCGATTAGTCTTGCGTTAAATAAATAACTATTTTAATCATCTGATGGGTGTACGAGTATGTGCACCTAAGCTATAAAGGTAAAAAGCTGTATAAATCGCCATTTTAATCCACGTTGCATTAAACACTTCTGAGTTGATAACAGTACTTTCATAATGACCCATTTACATAATATAAGAATAAGGGTCAGTATATTTATTCATTTATCACCGATTGCCACAGTGAATTTAATGCAGACTTGTTGCTGAACATTTTGTCATTAAAATTCTTTTGTCGAATAATTCAACCATTTTCAAACTTATACCTGAACACGAATTGACGCACTGAAGGGTTGTCCAAACATCACTTGATTGATCTCCACAAGTTCAAACAAAACTTCTTCGTTTTTCTCACGTTTTGATTTTGCGTAGGGTTTTGGAGAAGGGGGAAATCCAAGTATCGAATTGACAATTTTCTTGTGTTCTTCTGCAGATCCTTGAACAATTGAGTTGTCATGTATTTCGTAAATTAATATTTAACTTCTTAAATAATAACTATGAGATTCCTTTTAAATGAGTTTTATACTTCTTAAAATACTGTTTCCGCAAATTACAGGAGTTTTTGACGATTTGCTCAGAATGTTTACACAACAACTATTCACTAGATATTTAAAAAATATATATAATAACCAATAAGTTTAAACCAAATTAAGGACAGTAAAAATCTTATTTTTTCCACTTGAGACTGTGATACAATTACACTATTGATTTTGTAGGATTATGTTTACAGCATTGTTATAAATTAAAACTTAATCATGTGAAAACTTTCAAATATACACTATATGTCGATGTAATGAAATATTTACAAACCAATACCCGTTGCTCGAAATCAGGAAACCAAAGAACGTATCTCTAATCATCCATTTGATCATAACAACCATAAGACCCTTCAATTGTGAATGACTAGTTAACAATGTTTACCATTTTGAGAGTTCTTTTGAGAGTACATACTTCAATGCTAGTTTTTTTTAAAGATGTGTAAAGCTCAAACGTATTATCTTACTACTACTATTTTTTTTTGGGGGGGGGGGGTTGGTGTAACATTATGGAGTAGCCAATACAATACTATTTTGCTTGTGTATTTGATCCTTAAAAGTACAAAACTTGTATTTTTCCCAACATAATTTATGCACACCTTTTTCATTTTTGTATGTTTTTGTGACATCAATAAAACAAGCCTCTGTTGTGTCAATGTCCGGTCGTACTGAGTCGGTGACTATTTTACAGCCCACTCTGTGAACAAAATAAATTGTTAAATTAATTTGTAGGCTACATAATTAAACACCAGTTGACAGGTTTTTCAAATACTTCCACTATTATAGTTATCGCATAGCTTATATTGAGGGAGTTATCATATATAATGAAATTTCTCCTGTAAGAGACCAAGGTGTCCTTTTTATACAAGTTGTCACGCAAACGGTCAACCTCCGGGAAATGGCCCTGAGGGTCGATAAATAGAGAAACCCAAAATAATTTGTTTTCATAATCACTTCGTTAACTATATTACCGCCATTTTCTGTTGTTTGTATAAACCTTTTTTTTATATTTACATTCTTCTCTTTATGAAATCGGTACGTTTGTTTAAGTAGAACAGACCGAGTTGAAAAACCTAAATTAATCCGATTCCAAAATTGTAAAATTGTGGCCATTTCATTTTTATAATTTAATTTACTAAAAAATGACTTATTTTATGAGAAAATGTCAAGAACACTGTTATTTAGTATTTTGAATGTTCTATCAAACGTGACCAAGTAAAAAGTCCCTCGCTAAATAACTAGCATCGCGTCTTAATGTCAACTACAATCGCATAAGGTTGAAATGAAATTTGTTATATGTAGTTTAGCTTACCCATACTGAGTTGGTCGCAGTTTCATAAACTGTTTTTCACCTCCAGGATCTTCCTTCATATGCAGAAGCTCTCCGTTGAGCGTAGCGTAAACCATCGCCGTGTCGAACATCTGACCAATGTTTCCTTGGCGAACAGCTTCGACTGACGTAGGTCCACAGATTGACTTTCCTGTAACTACAATGAAAAGGTATTTCCTCTAGCTTCTAGCACGGAATATTTATTCCACATTATTTCAGGCTAGGAGTGGGTCGTGGCATTATCACTTAGATAAAATCCATTGGTGATTGGCGGGATTTGAACCCTGAGTGTCGGGGACTAAAGTCCCGCACTCTACCACTACACCAGCTCGCTCCCCACATATGAAATGTTTATATTTCCTTTACTCGCTTCAACAATTTGTCACTACCATTGAGTGAAGTACATCATCAGGTGCAAAACGCAAAGCTCCTTAGTTCCTTGAAGAAAAACAACTTTGGGGAATCTGATCCGATCAAGCCTGAAGAGCTGACTAATATTCACAGTAGGATACTTTGTTCACTCATCACCACGTATAGGTGGCTGCCTTTAATAGTCAATGGTCGTACATAACTTGATATTTTGATAATGCACTTCTGATTACGAGATAGAACATGTAACTACACAGGATCGTTTGACTGAAGAACAGGTTAAAAAAGTCTTTACTTTGCTTACTTTAACCACCTAGAGGTTATTCTATCACACAATTAATTATTCAACGTGTACTGGGGGTACTGTTGTACTGGGGAACAAAAATGTTTCCAAACCTAAAACATACCTTCATGTGTATAAAATAAAAATAGCTTACTTAAATTTCAGCAATAGCATATCATGTTCACTCACCATTAGGATCTATCACCTGCCAGCCATTATGACCTTCCGTCAGGTCAGGTCTGGCCATCCACGCTTCCACCCACACATGGAAGCCCCAGGGGAGATTGTCACTTAGGAGTTGGTCTAACCATTCCCCCTCATCACTCATGTATCTCACAAGAGTCAGAGATCCGTGGGCAGAGATGTAGCTAGTGACTGGTCGACTAGGGATACCAAGGGCTCTAAACACTGAAATGTGGAGGATTTGTCTTTCAGTTACTAAAATAATAGTCCACAAAGCTGCTATGAGAAATAAGGAATAAGTTTCTTATAGTATCGTTATAATAATATTGGCATTTATGGAGGTAATTCAGTGTGATTTGGGGATGTTAGAGGGATGATAGGTGTTGTCACATATTCGAAACATCCTTGTTATTTGTCTTTATTGATGACCGATCGTTGTTCACTGTTGTTCATTGTTGGAGACAGACCAATGATCGTTTTCTTTGAGATCCAGGGATATATCATTGAGTGAACATATCAAAATGGCAATACGCCTACGACTTTTCACGGTGTAATAGCTAACCTATTTAATCTGAGGTTTGGTTTAAAGAATTTTTCAGATTAGGCTAACTAGTGGTGGTTTCAAGGAGGGGATAAACCCCCTTCCCATTAATACCTGGAAAAATAAATATAACCAAAACTTTTCGACCTAAAAACTGAGGTTATTGGATACAGTTCTACACGTTTAAAATGGCTTTATAAAATCAACCAAACCGATTTAAAATACCAAATTCTCCATGGGAGGACTCCGATGCCCCCTCTTTTTCTGGGGGGGGGGGGGTTGGAGGTAGGTCCTAGAACCGCCACTGAGTTTAATGAATAATTAGGAGGAAGGGTAATCATTTTTACATTACTGATTAGATGGATTTATTTACTCTAGATACCTGTGACTGCCACTGATGAACAAACCCAGGTTTGACCAAAGTGCGACGTGTCCGTCTCCTTCAACCATCTCTCCAAAACTGCCACGGAACCGGTGCACGCTGCCGAGCTTCTACTTGACACGCTCGACGTCTGCTTCTCAATCTTAGCTCTCAACTGAAAATTTAAAACAATAGAAAACATCCCCGCCGCAGCAAACCTGCAGACTAAGTGAATTTACATTTTCCTGTTAAAATTTGTTTAAATATTCCCTTTTAATGTTTTATTAATTCGCTATTCAGTAAAATAGTGTTTTATGGGGACTTACTTCTGTTTATAAACAAAAGCAGAATCTATTCACAATACAACCTTAGAAGTCGAAATGAAAACACATTTCAATATGTTTACAAGTAAGTCCCAACGATTAGTCTAACCAACAACTGGAAATGTTTACAGCCAGAAAGTAATCTTCTGTTTGTAATAAAAAGGGGGTTGTAACATTCAAGATTTTACTGTTGTAAACCCAAAGCTGTTTTGGTTAGGCTTGTTGTTCTTTTTCAGACGAAATTGCTAATAAACTTTACTAGGACTTTAAATCTCCAACTGAGCCGGGATTAAAACCAAAATTACACTTAAAATTTCGTTGTTGATTAGTGAACAGCCATCTCTTTTGACATACCTTATTATAAATTCAAAATATTAATAACTATAAAAACCATCCACACGAAATAAATAATTATTGGTTATTATGTTATGTTTAACTCAAATTAAATAAACTATAAAACTTTAGAATAAATATTTTAAACACATAATATATACGAATTCAAATTTACTGTATTGTTTGTTTGGATTGTGCTTATATTTATCAATACATGTTTCAATATATTGTAAATTGTTACAAAACAATTCGAGTATTGTCTATATAATCTTGGGCTTGGGTAGGTTTATGGATGTTAGGGGAATGACAAGGGCCTCATTGAACCCAAACCTAGAGATAAAACACTTTTATGTGATGCAATAAAGTTATTTCATTTTTTTAATAATCTTTTAAATGTTTCTTTTGTTTCGATGGATTTTTAAACTAGTTTTTTACTTATATAAAATTATCATCCTGAATTTGCTTACAGTAATGGTTTATAAGACTTTGGTCTAAAACGTTCTTTTGAAGAACATTAATATATCACGTTTGTTTTGTTATAGATATAATTTATTGGATTGTCTTTAACTTTTGTCAGTTAAATAATTTTTTTTATAAATAAATTCCAGTGGTCTACATATAAGACAAGACCAGGGTTTAAATCGTCCCCTTACAAAAAACGTAATAAATACAATGGCTTAAACAAATGCAAATTAAAAAAATGTTTGTGCGTAGCATCTAACCCGAAGTCTCCTTTTGTGTTGTTATGATTTTAATTCCGATTGTAAAACAACTGTTTGTATAATATAACCTTTAAAATACGAGTACAAATTTTCAAGCATAATCCTACTTAAATCAAATTCAAATTACCTCATATACTCACGAGCTTCATGCCCCTTAATAACATCACTATCAAAGCGTCGGTGCCAATTACGAACCATACGTAGCTCATAACTGGGCCACGTGACCTGTTTCCTATTTCAATTCCTCAGAATCATCCAGATATTTTAATTTAATAATTATTGGTCCTAAAAATAAATTTCGCTACGACTCTCCTACACTCCTCACCGCAGTACCAATGGCCCTGGCTACTTCCACGATATTTCCTCTCCTGGAGTGCTCCAAGGACGACTCCTCCAGCAGCAGCATGGCTACTGGAAGGACGACATCGTCGTACTGTCCGAACACCCAGGGGCGGGCTATAGGGTGACGATGGGTCCCGGTCCAAACCCTGCCATAGTCGCTGGAAACGAACTGTTCCCTGGCATCCCCATCCAGAAACACTCCGTCATCTGGGAAAAGGAAATATAATAAAATGGTTTAAACAGTTGTTTAATTAAAGTTGTGTATTCTCATTGACATTGTTAACCAATGGTATTATATTGTACACCGAATTCCAAATCCTATGTCAAAGTTGTGGCCAGTTTTGAAATAAAATGGTTGAGTTTTAATTTTTCTTTGTGGTTGTACGTGATTGGTATTTTGACTGTTCTTTGTAAGGGAACGGTCCAGACCCTGGTCTTGTTACAATCTAACGTTGAACTATTGTTAGATCATCATTGATATCCCAACGAAATCTGGCATCTGGGTCTGGTAACGATATCGCCTAGCATCCAACCAACAAACTTTAGATTTTAAAGTGAGCACTATTATATACACTCGGATATCCAGACGATTGAGCCACCTACAGATTGTACTGATGAATACTGCGAATACGTCAATACCAAGCCAAAACTAAACGACTACACATTGTAAATTAACTGTCGTCAATTTTAAGTCATATAATATTTCAGTAACAAAAACTAAAGGTGGGAATATAGTAGTAGTACACTCTGTGACTCGATAATCATTCAAATTATATTTTTTTTACTGGGTTGAGCTGGACTATATAGATGGAACGTCGACTTTTTTAAAGTCAATGATAGTACAGTAGGCCTATGTATTAGATAAATACTAAATATTATATTACAAACATGCATGAAAATCTGTTTGCTAGTTAGTTAGAACCCCTACCTGGACACCAAGGATTGAAGAGAATGTAGATATCTTTCTCTATGTTAAACTCTTTGGTTTCAGAACGAGTTGTGTCTACTTTGGAGGTGACAATATTGCAATGCCAAATTCCAACAGGACACTTCACTGGAATCCTTACCTTGAATAAAAATTGTATTAGAAGGTCATATTAAAAATTATTAAATTTAATAATGAAAAAAATGAACCGTCCGAAATATTTCAAAACTAGATTAAAGAAAGTAATGTGATTGTGATATTTCGCAAACACGTAAGCAGGTGTTTGAAAGATTTCAAATATACTGCAAAACAAGTAAGTTAATTATTCTGTCATAGGTAAGGTTGAAAAATGGTGAGAACCTAAATTACTTGCAAATTAAAAATATGAAACTGCACTGTTGTTTAGTATGTATAACCTACGTCTGTGACAGTATAAATAAATCTTTTAGAAGTAAATTATTTATTGAATCTATCAGATCTTTTTATTTATGATATTAAGCTGAAACTTTGTTAACCAGCCAATTGTCAGTTCAGTAAATGAAAATCAGAAAGGAATGTTTTTAACTTATAACGTTACTGGTTTAGTTTATAATCATTTTACGTCTTTTAATCTATTTGTCTATACTATAATAAAATTGAGGTGGTGTCTGTCTGGGCAACTGTCACGACTAAAATACTAAACCAATACAGCCAAAATTAAGCACAAAGATGGTCCACATATCTAGGAATGTCCTAGGCCTATTCACTTCCCGATTTTCTCTCGGGCTACGCCCCTTGGATGTCCAAAGTTTTGAGGCGAGGTTTTCAAAAGTAAATATTAATTTGTCTCCATGGACAAATAATTAACAATGTCTGCCTTTCCGATGACATTAAAATGTAGGTAATCAATTAGCACTGCCAAATGCTCATTTCAGACAGCTGATCCAAGGAAATTAAATATATTTCACACAGCAATGTGGTGGGATTGTTTAATCTAAAACTTTATTATAGATTATGACTATTCTAAATCTATTTCAATGATTATGAAACAGATTTTTTTCCCGTTGCGAAGCACGGGTACAGCAGCTAGTTATATTTAAAATTGAATTTAGGGATGAAATAAATAACGAAATACCTGGAAAATGGTGACGTTTGAGTCCTGCCGATGAACCCGGGCATCCCATGAGGATTTATTGGCAGCAACTTCCGGTTTGGAAGAAACCGAGATCACGTGCCGCGTCCCACAGATGATTTCCGGTCTTGGTCCTTAATAGAAAAGTTACACTTTATTTCATGTCGAGTTTGGATTTATAGAATGTAGTTCTCTGCTGTAATTTTTAAATGTATCTAAGAAAGTTTTAAGAATAACCTTACACTAAATGGAAATTACGTGGTTTCTAATAAGTTATAATTAGGTCTAGCCTGAAGAAACGAAAGGTTCTGGACCAAAGCCTAGCGTCCTAGCATGTGAAGGTAGGACTTGAGTAATATTAGTAGTGTTTTAAGTAATTAAGACGGAGTGCGACTAAATCTTCCTTACCCAGTTCAAAGACGAAGCTCACCATGTCTTTCGCCGTGTCCAAGGGCCGACAAAACCTCACCGCTAGATAGAAGGGTAGGCCGCGACGCAGCACGGGGACGCCCGGGAGGTCGGCGACGACGAGGAAGTGGTCAGTATGATGAGCCGCAGCGTTGTCCAGAGCGTAAAGATCTGTCACCTCTATGGTCAGGGTTCCATCGTCGTGAACTAAATTAGTAAACATACTATGAATGCGTCCAACTCACGTTATAGTGTTGTTTGGGAGTTTGCAGTAGGTCTACTTAAAACGTACCCTATGCTTTGTTAGATCAGCTGTGTCTAATGTTTATAAAACATGTGACTTTACAATATATTATTCTTAGGGAAAACGAGATATAAGGATCACTGCTTGTCAAACCCTAGTTTTGAAAGATAAATCGTGAACCGGAGTTCAACAATGGATAAATTATTATGTATCATTTATCCATTACTAAGCTGTATCCATTTATTATGTATCCATTTGGTAATTGATAGATTAATTAATTGTCACAAATACAACTCGTGAATGGTAGTTTTAAAATGTGAAAAGTTGGTAAGTAGATCATGGTAGGAAGTATATAATTTCCAAAGTATCACAAATTTTAAAATGTATGGACTTCAAGTTCATTGATAAAATTGACTAACTACATACTTTACTATATACATTACTATTTACATAAAAAGCAATATATTCAGACCCGAAACAAGCGTGACGTGAAAAACGTCGTTTTCTTCGGGGTAAGTTTTAAACATAACGCAATTAAGCATTTGAATAAATTATCAATACTTAAGATTACAAGATACTCAAGATAACTGTTATCAAAGTTTTCCTTTTTTAAATTCTATATACAGTATAGATTTTTCTACAGGTCACAACCAGTATGCTTGGTTAAGAGATTTGCTTCTATGCAATATCATGAACTTCTTTAATACAAGGCCGCAACAAGAAAAAAGTGGCAACGCTGGAGTCCCGGCCTACCGAAACAGCTGTTGCACTAGTTTATAATGGAACGTCTGTGCCATGTTCATGTAAACGCCTTGTATAGAAGTAGCTATGACAATACTGAACTTCAATAATTAGCCTTGGAATAGAGATTGTTTCCTAATAATTTGCAACAACATGACTACCTTCAACATGTGACAACTTGTCATTTCTTCTTCTTCTCTCGTAGTCCAAGACGAGCTTAGCTTTCATTTTCAGGTGATATTTAGTCATCCCATCTCCTGCGTGTTGTTCTCCCATCATACACCTGGCTGTACAAATTACACCTCGGAGTATTAAATAATAAATCATTGGACTTAAAAAGTACAGCATATCTTAGTATCCCGGTGAACATTTCACACATTTGTTATATCATAAATCACGTTAAACATCTACCAAGATATTTCATCAAATAACTATTATACAATGGCTTATAGAAACAATAGAAGGACCTAAAACTTGATTATATCCACTGATGCTTCTCTGTGCTGTACCAGAAAACATGTGCAAAGATCACTGCAGAATAGAACATTTGTCGCAAGTAATACTTATTAATAAACTCGATTAACATGGAAGGGTTTCTTGTGTATAACCACAGCCATCTCTAATACAAGGCCGCGACGTTCGAACTGGCAACGCCGCAATCACACCCCCTCTGCGTCCGTCTTCACACGCGCTAGGCTATGAACATCAATGAGAGTATTGCTGTTCTGTATCAATGAATGAAAGTATTTAAATACGTAATAACATATTTTAGTAGATTTTAAGGTATGGTAAAATAGACAAAATTGGAATCTAGGTTGTTTATTTAGTGAAAAATTGCAACATACCACAATATGTCTAAAACTAAAAATATACAAACATGATGTTTTTGGTTGCATTTATCGTATTGTAAGTACGATGAATGTGGAAATAGATGGACTTTACATATTTCCTTTGTTAATTTGATAATCTACACTATTATATAACAATCTCATGGTGTCTGTATATATGTGAGTTATTCAACATAGTAAAAACTACTAGGCAGACTGTGCTTAAATTTTACAAAATAAAGCTACCATACCAAGAATGGTAATGGTAATACAGTAGGACTGACTAACTTATTGCCACTTCAATATTTGTAGAGACTTTGGGATTTGTAGAGACTAACATCTAACAATTTGTTCGAATAAAATTAATTTTCAATTTTCAATAGGAATATTATGTTTTAGTCTACCTGAGAAAACCATTTAGCGGCAACAAAATTTTAAGTTTTCATTTTGAAGGAAAACTGACTATAAATAATTTATTTTCTTTGAATAATTACTAAGCAAAACGTTTTTCATTTTGTAAACGATTTCAGAAGCTAGGCCTCCAATGCTTTCCACAATATTAATTGAATTGTTTCATCACATCAACATTCAGACTGGAGTCGGAGAATATGATGCTTTAATTGTTAGATAGTGTAGTACATATTTTTTACTAGTACGCCTACTTAACAGAAACACCGGTTTATTTCTTCGAAGTGCTAGTTATTTAAGTTATTTTAATCACTTAACAACAGCTTTTATCAATAGACAGACAAATAAACAAGGAAATAGTACGGCTTTCTCATACCTAAAACTCGCTTCTCGCGTGTATATTTACACGAATCAAAGTCTTATCCTTACATTTTTTTACAAATTTCAGTTCATATTCGTGGAAATGTTTCACACAAAAACGAGAATTGTTTTAAGATGTCTAATTTGATCTAAGAATAGCAGGAAGCAAAATTGTTACTAACGTGGCGGATCACGTAGAATCTTAGAACACTGTATGTATTATTCATTTTTAATTGAGCTATCGTAATTATTCTTGCATCCAGGCACATCACATCTATCTGGCATGCTGTAGTAAGAAGTTTAATGTCATAAATAATGATTAAAGGCAGTAGAAACGCGATTATGTACGTCGGTACGCGACTCCTCCATTCACTGTTAATGGTAAGACGACCGCGCACCAAGACACTGATGCGACGTTGCCGCTTTCACTCGCCGCGGCCTTTATAATTCCTTTTTCTATTGTGTAGGGTACCTTGTGGGGTTGTCAGATTCGTAGATACTAAAGTGGTTTAATATTAAATAAGAAACGCACCAGATGGGACATAGATTGTGCAATAGAAAATGTTTTGATAAAAAACATGGGTCTTCGTAGTTGTATAATTTGTATGTATATAACGATCTATCACTAAATAGAAGTTACATATACATCTGAAAGGTTTAAAGATTTTAAATAAATAGGTGATCTGCTATAATGCCACTTTGGCCAAAATCCGTTACATACCCACAACGAAAGGCAAGACCAACCTTATTATTTTTTTCCAATTTCACTCCTAAAATCTTAAATGATGAGCATTAAATGTTGTTGTAACTTAACTTTTGAATCATACAAATAGTTCAGTATTGCTTAGACAGATAGAATTGAATATAACCTAATTTAAATCATTTTAAGTTGTTTAAGATATACACCTTTTTTCAGACTGTTGAAGAACGTCCATCATCACGATTTCGGTAGTCTCAATTACTGTATAATCTCAAAAATAAATATTTCTTGAAAATAAACTGTTCTTCCTTTTTGATTGAAAATTGTTGTTATCAGCCTTGAAATACTATATGTATTACTGTACGATATATAGTTGGAATAGTATAACCATAACCTACAGTTATGTGAGCATAGTCCCAAGCTATGATATATGCGATGGTACATCCGGTTAAACTGTGTTGCGCTCCTCAGCTTCCGTGTGTATTGTTTGGATGTGATACATAACCTAATATCAACAGATTATTGATACAGTATTGCACTAGGCCTTTGGTTAGTATCATCATCAAATCACAGCTTATAGAGCCCTAATATAGGATATTTTAGTAATTTGTATACTATTGGTAGCCCGTGTATTACTTAGTGTTATAAAAAAGTGTCGTTACTGTGCAGGTAAAATCCAAGTCAAGCGCTTGTGAGACGTTAATGCACAAAATGTCTGCCTTCTTAGTAATTTAATTTAATTTCAAAATTATAAATTGTTCGTTTTATTAAGTTTAAAATAATATTTCTCTTAAGAATACTAACTCCTGATAAATTAGGTACCGTAGACCTCCTGACTCTATAACATAATGTAACAATTTTCCTTTTAGAGGTATGTTTTATGATTATTTAACCTCAGAACGCAAAATTAAATAAGCAAACTCTAAGCGTAAAATAATACTAAAGTAGGACGTTTCTGGCGTGGTAGGTTATTTCTAATTCCATACTGTATTGAAATTTATATGTTTTCAAAATAGTCTCTCTGGCCTTAAACGAGTTTTGTGTTTCTATTATGAAGTCTGATTACTTTTTTAAAACAAACATAATAATCAATTTGTTCATGTTTGTTTGCGGGGAATATTGTGTTTAACCATTGATATGAGACATAACCCATGATTGAAATTGGAAACTTTATTTTATGTTGGTTAGGTTCATTTTTACTGATTGTAATTACAGTTTTGTTTACAACTACAAATTTTGTAATATGTTATTGTTTTGGTGCGTGGTTCAATTGAAGTCTAAATTTTTTCCCATCATTCTAGTATCCATCTAAATTATGCTTAAGCTTATTTTTCCAACATATTTTCATACGAAAAAATACTAATAAGCGTACGACAACGTGCATATATGCAAAAACATAATAAACATAAAAAATAGTATTTTAAATCGATGGAGTTTACTGTAATCTTTATCATTTATTTAACAGTATACACTGTTAATGCATGAAGTACCGTTCCAGCATTAAACTTCAAACAGAACTTGCAGAATGCATAGTCAATGTTATCATTTATCAGTTCGAATGAAAACTGGTAATAATAAATTGTTAAGCTTTAAAGTTAGCATTTAGTAAGCCCTAAGTTATGATATTGAATTTGAAATGTGCAAGTACAGTAGACGTATTCGGTATTCCCACGAATACTAGAAGTATTCGTGCGTATTTATAACATCTGAAGCCTGTTTTGACGTGTGTTTCATGTATTTTACGTTTGAATGCGTTGATGTCAACGTAAACAGATATATTTATCTCCTTTATAAGATGTATTTTACTTGTTACTTTTTATATAATACAAAGGGAAATAATGGTCCCTATGCAAGCAGGATAGTTATGTTTGGTTGTACTAATCTAAACGGTCATACAACAGTAAGGATGAATACAAAGGTTCGTTAAATTTTGTTGAGTTTGTTTTAAAATCTGTGAAATAATAATATATAAACTTTAAGTTTAAACAATACGTATTCAACATAAATTCAACGGGATGTTGCGGATATGCCTACAAATTATCATAAACTGTTTCAAGATGAATCTATAACGGGGTGTAAGCATATTCCCTTAGAAATTAACGGTTTATCGTCCTTAAGGGTCATCTAAGGACAGTTAAAAAATAACTTAACAATTCCTGTAGTAGGGCCTATTCGCAGTCTCAAGAACAGTTGATTAATTGTGTAAATATACCTTATGATTGCCAGGTTCTTTAAGAATATTGATGTGAGCCAGTGAGCCCGATCTGCTCCTGATGATGTAGCTTTTGACATGTGGCGAAGTGTACACCGGACTCACATAAACATTCTTCGAGAACCTGGCAACAAGATAAATCTACATAATCTAACAGTTCCGTTTTATTTTTGTAGACTACGTCTTGTTCTTTACTGTTTGTTCCAACACTAGTCCTGTCTGGTTGTTGTGTTATATATACTTCGACGGTTAAGTAGCACGGCGTGTTTTGTTCTTTGATAACTGTTTTGTGATATTTACAGCTTTAAAACTATAATATCTTAAAACCCAATCTGTTTCTAAGCTATTTCGCATACTCTGATATTAGCGCTTAATGGAAGAACACAGATAACTATTCCTAAAATATTAGAGTAAAATGTGTAGTCAACATCAGCGTACTTTCACGAAACGCATATATAAACACTTCCAAATTAACAATGGAATGACATATCTTTCATTTTACAAAGTCAATGGTACAATTCAAACACATTTAGTTAACATACAAATTTTGACCCAGTGAACATTCAAACGGCACGAACCCTCAACTGTTACCAACCTGGAAAAGGCTTCAGATTCATCAATTGGATGGAAGTCCACTTGCACTTCTGACAAAATGAGATTCCAAATCACGTCATGACCAAATTAAACAAGCTCTTACCTCGGTATACCTGTTCCTGCGTCACTCGCAAACTACGTTGAACATGACACAGAGGTGTCTGGCATCAACGTAAGGATGGGGATGTCACGGCTGAAGAACTCCTGTGTCATCTGATACTGCATTGTTGCTACTCTGCACTTGACAAGCAGAGATTACATGCAATAGTTTGTAGACCTAGTGTTTGCTGAGTATAAACATTGACTTTGGATAATGGATGTGGCTTTCTCGCCCTATTGTAAGATGTGTAACCTGTTTATAAGCGTGAAGCGAATTTCCCTAGGGAGGAAGCTGTTATCGTAGGTGTCGCGCAAGAAGTAGATCCTGGGACGGATTACTTCCCCCAGACGCCACAAACACTATTTCATGAAATTTGTATAATTTTTATATATGTCCATGAACATGATAACTAGAGTTATTTTGGTCAGATTCTGATCAAAGTTACTATCTTATTCTTATGGATAAAAAGTGAACTGTTATAGTATGCATGTTTACTGATATATTTGACCACATTTGGCAAATTAATTTTATTTCATACTGTACGTTTATTCTGTTTAGCCTATTTTTCACTACAGACATTCTGGCGTCACTGAATTCAGCTATCCAAGTTTGTATTTTACTTTTTACTATTTCATTGGCTGAATTTGTATGTTTATTTTGTATAAACCTCAGATTGCTTGAACTTATTATTATTTATTGATGAACCTATACAATATTAAATTTTTAAGATTACAACAAATTTGCATACACGTTTATTTTAATATTAAAAACATTGTCAGTCTGTCAAAGTTTGTTATTTTAAAATTTTTTTTAAAGGACCAACGATTAAGATCAGTTGGATTAGTTTTTCATCATCAAAAGATGTTAAAAACTTGTATCAAGATATAGTCGGTAAACTATGGACCACATGGATTAACACCACATGGCACTAGCCAGGAAGTTATATGACAATTGTATATAGTGATCTATATACTTTTTTACCAGTAGTTTATGGTAGGGCCTACTAAAAAGCTACAAGGTTGTAAGGCTATAAGGTTGTATCCGTAGTATCATTAGAATGCATAGTCCTATTTTTGTAATTGATTAGTAGGCTACACAGCCATAACAATATTTTATATTTTTTACCTTCTTACATTCTAGATGGAAATAAGTTACCGAAAAACTATATTTTTTAAATGTATTCTTTTGTGTTCATAATACAAACAAAACTGTAGTTGTAGATTGTTTTGTGTAATAGTAACTCGAGGAGAAGTAACTTTGCTAGTATTCAGTTGGGAACGGAGCTCCTATAAATTGTTAAACACGTGCATATTTCCAGCTTGAATGTTTGATGCGTTGTCACGTCACTGTCGCTCCCAGGATAAGGAGGTGAGTTACAAGATGTCGGATGAATAGATCAGTGATACCAACTTTGAGCGGCAAACTTCCCAGCCAAGCATTTGTGAGGACTTGAGATATATTTTGACTCGAAACAAATATTGCATTCGCGAATGTCTTGCAAGACCTATATCATCCACGACCACTTATCCGGCTCTTTCGTTAAAGAGAACCAAGGGAAAATAAAGTTGTTTAGACAACGTGTATGACTTTGCCATTTGTTAAATTTGGTTTGGATGTGTAAATTAACATTTATTTGATGGCGTTTAGGCACCAGTCTGATCAGAGCATTCTCATTTTCTAAGCGAAGAGATATTCTAACCCCTAAACATTTTTGTTTTGTTGACTTTAAACCGTTTTTTGTATTCGAAAGTTATTTTTCTATTATCCACATATAATAACAAATTTCTACCTTTTTGTGCAATACATTTGTTTAAAACAATCTAGTTTTTACTGTTTAGTTTTGGTTTCACAACACTCCAAGATGTATATGGCCTCCAGTGGGAACCTATACCAACTTGGACAGTGGAAGAACGTGTGTCGTTAAACAGCAAATACGGTCTCAATAATTTCTTGGACACGACGTTTAACTTCCTATTTCTTGTCGGTCGAATTCAGCAGGTAGGATAGTCCATATATTCATTAGTCAGTTTGGAATAACCAGCTTCAGGGTACAAAGAGTGAAACTGTCTTGCATTGTGGTTTTTATTGTGGTTTAACATGCATATGTTGCGTTATCATTGTGGCATGCAAGTTTCAAGTTTTTACTGGAAACAAAAAGATGTTTCACCATTATTCAAGACCACTTCAAGACGGTTTCTAAGTCTATAGCTAAATTATTGTCATAATCTGAATACAATTTTACGGTATTTACAAATGCAGAAAAGAACACTCATCTGGCCTACCACTAAAGTTTGTTAGTTGTTGGTGGCAAAGAGAGGTTGATTGAATAGCTTTTTTGACTGGATCTGCTAGTAATTGTACAGTTGTTGATAAACACTGATGAACTATCGGTTCATTATCATTCAGCCACTTTACGACTTTACTCTCAGATTCTCTCTCCTCTCTTTTAGATATTAAGCGTTGGTCTAGCTCTTACCTCAGATCCGCAGACTTGACTACCATTTGCCGATAGTGATTTCATGGAAGCCCTTATTTCCAGCATTTGTTTACGTCGCTCTAGCTCCCTCTCATCTCTCAGCCGTTGTCGCTCCGCATTTCCTTCTCCAGCCGTTTTTGCTCCATTTCCTTCTCCAGCTCCAGCCATTGTCGCTCCATTTCCTTCTTCTCCATCAGTCTTTGTCTTTCCAGCTCGTTTTCTTAATTTTATCGTTCCAGTTTTTGTATTTCCTCCACATTTTCACGTTCTATACCCATTTGTTTCCCGTTGCTTGATATTGCGGATTTACCTGTTTTCCTTGAACTAATAGAAGTAATGCTGGTTTATCTTAATGATATTCATTGAGTGTCATTGTTTCCATTTATATAAACTTTCTTTGATTATTATTTGTCAGTATCATTATTTTCATTCTGATCAGGGGTATACTTTTTTGGAGGTTTAAATTTTTATTACTTTTTCTGTAAGACATATGGTCCTTTTTTGTTTCAGCGCAAATTTTATGTTGTCAATTATCCTAGTCAAATAAAAAAGTAATTTTTTCAGTACAACATGTCATAACTTACTTTATTTACCATTTTGTTTAACAATATTAAAAAACATGTGATACCTTTACAAATGATTTATACAACAAAGAAATTTATCAATAAACATACATAATTAGTCATTAACAACGTTCCCCACTCGTTGCGGAACGATGCTTTCGACCCTTCTCCCTAAGGAAGATGGCGACCTCTAGTGGTGTCCGTCAGACCTAAGCCTTTTACGACGTGCATATTCTAATTTCAGTTGGTCAAATTAAATGTTGCTTATAGAGATGAGGGCTGTGACGTGATAGGTGTACACAACTAAAACGGTCCTCTCCGGCATATCGAATTTAAAAAGGCTGACTTAGGCACTTGGCAGCGTTTCACAGATCTAGGCCGAGGGTCAAATCTTGCGTGCCACTGGAAGTGACATCCATAATCTGCGGCCTATCTTTATTTTTGTACACAAGTGAATCTGCAGCACAGATATAAATGAGCCTCAACGCTGGAACGCGGAATGCATACAACACACCGCCCATCTCGCTGAGTTTCAGACATATCTATATAGCTTAACAAGAAGCATGACTCTGTGGCCGAAATAGTTGTTGCTCTTACACTCAAAATGTTTGTTTGAAATGGTTGTTGTTCATGACTGCTCTTTGTGATATCACGTTAATTGTTTGCATTCTTTTCCAAATCTTTACTGCCGGGAGTGGATCCAACTTTTTAAACAGTTTCCCGGCAGTACCCAGAAAACAAAGAGGTCTGACGACGGCATATCTCGGTCACCTTACCATTGCTGATCAGCATCAAACCCTTCCCATGGAGATGTTAATCTCCTTTGGACAGGCTGGTATTGTACCTAGAAATTACATAAATATGTTATGAAAATTTTAGTTGATAACAGATTGTGGGATTATTAACGTGCTTCAAAATTTACAAGGCTACTTGTGTTGGTTAGTCTATGGTGCGAATTAATGAGCTGATGTCACCTGTCTGCCATGTTATCTCATGAGAGGTCTGTCACTAAACAACACCACTTGCGACGTTGCCAGTTCTACCAGGCCGCGGCCTGTAGTTAAAGGGGACCGTGGAACTGCACGGGGGGCCTTTAAAGTCTAAAGAATCCAAAATGGGTACCATTTTTACTCGTCGTCCATGGAAGTTTACATAGTACTGTTCCTCTATGAACAGTGTCAAAAATATAAATAAATAGCGTACAAACGAATAAAAATGATTACTTTGGGATTTAGTATTATTAATAACAACACTTTACATAGTACGGTAAAGAGTGAATATCTCTATGTTTTGTGCAATAGCTACCTACTTTACTCGACAATTCTGATTGGTGTTGGTGATCACACATCTGTCATTTTAAAATTGTCGTCTGCACTCTTCCTAGTCTTCTGTAACCAGTGCGAGTGCAATGTTTTGTTGATATTCTGAATACTGCATTGTTTCTGATCACTAGTTTTTTTTTAATTTTGTGGTAAATATTGCAATGTAACAATTTTCATAACTTAAAAAGTATTATTTATAAATTAAAGTTTTTGATGCTGGGTTGGTTACGTGATAAAATCTATAAACGTCTTAGTGAATCTAGACAAGCAACTCGTCGTACATCTGTGGTTGGCTCTGACAGAAATGATTCTAATCCAGACTCTGGTAATCTTAGCTCGCCGACTCCCCCGTTGAATATGGACGTTACAGACACAAATAGAATAACGTTGCACATAATATATTTGGGTGAAATATGGGTTGTTAATATTGACCACAATAAAATGCTCTCTGATCTACTAAAAATGGCATTAGGCCATTTCTTAGATCTAGCAAGTTTATTGGGTGAAGAAGAATCAACTTCAAAGTTCAAGTTCATATCAGTCTCAAAGAAAAAGGTTTTGAACCTCCAGTGTTCAATAGTGGATGAAGGGCTTACAAACTATGGTAAGAACTAGGCCTAAGTTATGCAAATTATTTCAATTTTTAAAGTAGCCTATCAGTACCTTAGTAGGCCTAAGACTCCAGATGAGATTTGGTTGCATGTCACAGGCATTGATTGTGTTACCGGTATATTGATGGTCTAAAGTTATGTTTGGAAAACAAAACGCAGGGGATACGCGTCTGGTAACCGGACCTGGTAAGCCGGAGGTGTCTGGCAGTTATTATGTTGTATCCTAACCTAACTAACCAAAGTTGCTGATAATGGAAAAATCGAATGAAGGTTAAATTCTGTTCATAAAATAAAATTATAAATGCCTCAAAGTCTATCTTAACAAAATATTAAGAGATAAGAGTTAGAAATGGCATTCTAAGCAAAATCTTTGACAAAAGTTAAACTTAGTGTCACCGATGAGATTCGATCTGGATAACTATTGTACATCAGCCGAGTAGTCTATCCACTACACCACAAACACTGATGGCTGCACTTCTTATCGTTGCGGTAATGGTGTTACGGGGCCCCACAACCCGGTGACGTCACTGCCGGACGCCTAATCCACGTCCGGTTACTGGACGCGTACCTCTGTGAAAACAAAAACCCCACGGTTAGGAATGCCTAAACTAGGCCCTAGTTCAAATTAACCAGATTGGCCCCCGCCAATTAGGTAGAACATCCCCTCTATGGGGGCAAACACATGAACATCTCCTGCAATCATGGGTACAATCATCATCGTCACCCATGATCGTAGCAAATTAGGCCTATTAATTTTATAAAATTAAAATTAAATTTTTTTTATAAAAATATTAAGTAGCCTATTATTGTTCAAGAGGCTGTGACCTAGTCGGTCTAATGGTAATTCTGGCAATCTTTAATTGCATAGGTTAATTCATCACGTATCACTAGGCCCCTAACTTAAAACCAACATAAGTAGGCCAACATAAGAGGTTAAATTTTTTTCTAAATTTGTCAAATGTTCTCTAATTACTGGTACCATCTATAAAAATTGTGTGTTTCATCTAAATAGGGCCTAGGGGTTATTTATCAGTAGCCTACATAGGGTGTGTACGGACGTCCCCGAAAAGTCACTGATTTTACTAGTCTATACTTATTTAATACGCAAGCAGGATTTTTGTGACAATTACTCCTCCGAAACTACCGAACCGATTGACATGTTTTTGGTGTCATTGGAAAGAGCGTAACGTGAAGTTGTGCAGGAAACTTTCTTTTTGGGGAATAATTAGAGAGTGAGGCCCTGGGGCCCTATCAAGTTTCTTATTTCTCCATAAGATTATCATGGCAAACAAACATTGTAATGAAACTCTGAAATAGCTGATTTGCAAACTAAGGAAAAATAGGAAAGTCATTGAACACCACCAAGGAGAAGAAATAGAAATAGGCCTAATGTTTTTTTTTTTTATTTATAATCGTTATTATTATGGGCAACCTAAAGCGACTATGAGTAGGCTATTTGTAGAAAACACAAAAAAACAATATCAGTTTTTGAAAAATTATAAGATATTTACAAGAAATGTTGATTATAACGATCTGTTATGTACATCTTGAGTATTTCCATAATCTTTGAGTCGAATCTCATTTTAAAGTCATCAGAAATCATAAGTATTAGGCCTATTCGCTTTAAAATAACACCTTTAATACTTAGCAATTGCTCGAATTCGAGCAACAGGGACACTAGTATGATATGTATTTGCCTTGCGAAACAAAGCTACATAAAGCATACATCAATCCAAATCTCCATTGTAGAAAACGAGAAGTTAATTTTCCTTCAAGCCTGTACATGCAATCGGCACATTAATTAGTGCTACCAATGTGAGAAATAAATGAAATTTAGGTTTTGAGGTTAAGGAGTTGTAGTAGGGTGTCTACCAATAGATCAAACTGGAAGGTATGGGGGTTTAGTGAGTGGGAGAAAATTTCGCGCCGTTCCGGCCAAACCTCGCATGCGGGGTTGGTTCGGCAGATTGGCCACAACCTAAACCCCAACTCTCACTTGTTAGCTGCGGAGAGCTACCTTCTGCCACTGGGTGTTGGTCCACCTACAGAACCAAGTGAGGGGGGCCCTAGACTAAGGTGTAATGCGATCCGTGCCAAGAGTCTTGTGGCACTGGGGGCCTAATATTCAGTGTCTTAACGGAGCCTTCTGGGAACCAGGGGTAACCCAGTCGTACACACTCCTTACCTCTCTAATCGGGTCACTGGGGAGGTGGACTTAAATACCTGGTATTCGTGAGAACAATGTAGACAGTCTGACCCAAATGGAGGAGGAAGGTCTACTGAAATCTGACGATGACGACAAGCTCGCAGAAACCGGAAAGGAACGAAAAACGACTTTCCAGGGGCGAGTTGCAAAGATGGAGGATAGCGGATGCTTTAGCCAAAGGCGAAAAGGTGCTATCCAGAAGTGAGAGGAGGCTGGTGTGGGCTGCCAAGCACCCTAACTCTGCTGCCTGCAAAGCCAGTTCCTCCGGGAACTAGGATGCTGGGAAAAAGCAGAGCAAGGTTGGTACCCCCAAAGCTGACTCTAATGAAGCCTCCAGGAAGAAAGGTGGAGGCTGTGCTGACGCAGCCACAAAGGATTGGCTGGTCAAGCAAGTTCAGGAGCTGAGACCTTTCAGGGAAATCTCGCTACGGCTTGCCCCAGCCAGAGACCTTGTGAAAGCTGTGAAGGTATATTTATGTGCCCAGCCCTACAAGGTCTGCGTATGAGATCCCTCGTACGAAAATCGACTTTCCAGGGGTGAGTTGCAAAGACGGAGGATAGCGGATGCTTTAGCCAAAGGCGAAAAGGTGCTATCCAGAAGTGAGAGGAGGCTGGTGTGGGCTGCCAAGCACCCTAACTCTGCTGCCTGTAAAGCCAGTTCCTCCGGGAACTAGGATGCTGGGAAAAAGCAGGTCAAGGGTGGTACCCCCAAAGCTGACTCTAATGAGGCCTCCAGGAAGAAAGGTGGAGGCTGTGCTGACGCAGCCACAAAGGATTGGCTGGTCAAGCAAGTTCAGGAGCTGAGTCCTTTCAGGGAAATCTCGCTACGGCTTGCCCCAGCCAGAGACCTTGTGAAAGCTGTGAAGGTATATTTAGGTGCCCAGCCCTACAAGGTCTGCGTATGAGATCCCTTGGCCTATTGATGGGAGACCAAAGGGAAGAACAGGTCACCATAGTCAAGAGGCTCTCACGGTTCACCAAGGACCTGGGATTTGACGGAGAATGAGGACCTGTGAACGAGGGTGCACAATAAGCTGTTCTAGCTGCGATGCAATCCCATGGTAACTTGTAAGCCTGGCCCTCTATTAAAAAAAAAAAAAAAAAAAAAAAAATAGATCAAACTACAGTAGGCCTAATATTGCAGTGATTTTAAGGCGTGGGGGGGGGACGATTTTGAAACCCACAATCTTTAGTAAGACAATAAGACAATACTTGAACAGTATACAGTGACTTACACATGAGATAGTCGGGAATATAATATTTTGCGTATGGTACCTAAAATAATATAAATAATGTGCCATAATGATTTAGAGCTTGTTGCCTGCTGCCAGAAAAGAAAATTTGTAAAAACCAAATACGAGCAGATATACGGAGAACTAGGCATCGGAGACCCATGGTTATATTGGGAATTTGTTTGTCTCTATGCAAGGAACAATCCCACAAAAAGGGGTGCGGGTTGTTTCGGGACCCCTGTATAATCATAAAGAATTTAATACAAAACTAAAAACGATTTTATGATGACGACTGCGCAGTTTACGGTATCATAATAGTTTAACCTTTGACTTTGTATATAACTAGACATTCCAATCCCAAGTGAAACTTGTATCCAAATTGTTAATACAATTAAACTTAGTCGGATCGAGACATCGACAGAGTGCACTGGTGTGCACAGTGTGGTAATTACTGATTTCTGTCAACAAGTACTTCGGCAACATCACATTGACATTGAACATTGACACGTATAGCAAATCAGCTATTTCAGAGTTTCATTACAATGTTTGTTTGCCATGATAATCTTATGGAGAAATAAGAAACTTGATAGGGCCCCAGGGCCTCACTCTCTAATTATTCCCCAAAAAGAAAGTTTCCTGCACAACTTCACGTTACGCTCTTTCCAATGACACCAAAAACATGTCAATCGGTTCGGTAGTTTCGGAGGAGTAATTGTCACAAAAATCCTGCTTGCGTATTAAATAAGTATAGATTTAATAAATTAACAAGAGATTGCATTCAGAATCAGTCTAATTGATCGTTGATCTGTTTTAGATGAAATATTGCTGACGGAAAGAATATCAATAGGTTCATCAGTCTCAGCCAAGTTAACAATACATGACATCAAAGGTCCAACAGTACAAGACATATTTGCCCTGGGGCCCTTTAAAGTTTCGTATTCCTCCATAAGATTAACATGGGAAACAAAAATTTTTAAGAATCTCCAGCTGTGGTCAGAAATCAAAATAAGCTCACTCTATAATTCTGCACTACGGCCTAGCCTATAAATTTAATTGTTGCCTGTAGCAAGGCAAAACAAAAGGCATGTTTCTGAAACTTTATTTTAGTTAGGGCCGATTTTTGTGTGACTTTTGATATCTTAAAATGAAAATATGTTACTTCTCAGTGACTTCCTGCACCCCCTAGGAAGGTTATTTATTAGGTTATTTATCAGTAGCCTACATAGGGTGTGTTCGGACGTCCCCGAAAAGTCACTGATTTTACTAGGGGGTGCAGGAAGTCACTGAGAAGTAACATATTTTCATTTTAAGATCTCAAAAGTCACACAAAAATCGGGCCTAACTAAAATAAAGTTTCAGAAACATGCCTTTTGTTTTGCCTTGCTACAGGCAACAATTAAATTTATAGGCTAGGCCGTAGTGCAGAATTATAGAGTGAGCTTATTTTGGCAGCAGGCAACCAGCTCTAAATCATTATGGCACATTATTTATATTATTTTAGGTACCATACGCAAAATATTATATTCCCGACTATCTCATGTGTAAGTCACTGTATACTGTTCAAGTATTGTCTTATTGTCTTACTAAAAAGATTGTGGGTTTCAAAATCGTCCCCCCCCCCCCACGCCTTAAAATCACTGCAATATTAGGCCTACTGTAGTTTGATCTATTGGTAGACACCCTACTACAACTCCTTAACCTCAAAACCTAAATTTCATTTATTTCTCACATTGGTAGCACTAATTAATGTGCCGATTGCATGTACATGCTTGAAGGAAAATTAACTTCTCGTTTTCTACAATGGAGATTTGGATTGATGTATGCTTTATGTAGCTTTGTTTCGCAAGGCAAATACATATCATACTAGTGTCCCTGTTGCTCGAATTCGAGCAATTGCTAAGTATTAAAGGTGTTATTTTAAAGCGAATAGGCCTAATACTTATGATTTCTGATGACTTTAAAATGAGATTCGACTCAAAGATTATGGAAATACTCAAGATGTACATAACAGATCGTTATAATCAACATTTCTTGTAAATATCTTATAATTTTTCAAAAACTGATATTGTTTTTTTGTGTTTTCTACAAATAGCCTACTCATAGTCGCTTTAGGTTGCCCATAATAATAACGATTATAAATAAAAAAAAAAAAACATTATTTCTATTTCTTCTCCTTGGTGGTGTTCAATGACTTTCCTATTTTTCCTTAGTTTGCAAATCAGCTATTTCAGAGTTTCATTACAATGTTTGTTTGCCATGATAATCTTATGGAGAAATAAGAAACTTGATAGGGCCCCAGGGCCTCACTCTCTAATTATTCCCCAAAAAGAAAGTTTCCTGCACAACTTCACGTTACGCTCTTTCCAATGACACCAAAAACATGTCAATCGGTTCGGTAGTTTCGGAGGAGTAATTGTCACAAAAATCCTGCTTGCGTATTAAATAAGTATATAGATTTAATAAATTAACAAGAGATTGCATTCAGAATCAGTCTAATTGATCGTTGATCTGTTTTAGATGAAATATTGCTGACGGAAAGAATATCAATAGGTTCATCAGTCTCAGCCAAGTTAACAATACATGACATCAAAGGTCCAACAGTACAAGACATATTTGCAGCCACTGCCAATCTTCCAAAAAAGAATACAATTCAAGTTGTACCTGCTTTGGAGTGTCAGGACAGTGTACGTATTGTTTTTGAATTTTTTAGTTGATAATTGCACATCGCTGCTTGACTAATCTCTTTAAGAGGTAGGCTAATTGGTATTGTATAGGTATGCAGTAGAATTTCTTAGAAGTTGAAAGATGTTCAAATGTACAAATTTTGTACATTGTGGTGGACTAAGGTGTAGTTAAAATTTTCAAAATGTTAAGCTGTTTACTCAGTGTAATTCTTAAGTGTTATTAAGCACTAGAAAAAAAATGATGATGTAGACAAACTGGCAGTATCAACTCTGAAAAAGCCGCTAAATCTTCTGATGCAACAATTCTGAAACGGTCTTTTCACCAATTAATTTTAGTTTAATATAATCGATTCTAGGGAAGATCTTGACTCGATATCAAGTTCAGGGAGGGATTTTTAATCCCTCTCAAGAGATTTCTTGAGTAATTACCAATTCATAAAGGTATCTCTGCCTGCTACACTGCTCAAGGTAATGTTTTTTAAATCAGAATAAATCACCACAAAAAAATCTAATTTGATTTTGAAATTTTCCAGTTTCAGGTTGAAATCCGAAAGGTATTGTATTCATTAGTAGAAGCTTCAGCTAAAATTTTAGCTCAAACACCTGATGCTAAAGTCATATTTTCTGGCATAGCTGCTAGAATTGACGCCAAATACAAGAAAGAAATAGATGAGAACGCAATCAAATATTTAGTGGATCTGGGATTCACTGAGGTTCAAGCGAGATATGCCTTGCGTTTAAAAAGGTAGGTATATTTTTTTTTTAAGCTAACAAACTATTCATAAAAAATTATATGATGAAAATCGTACACATTTTACAGTAGGTTAGTGCTTAAAAACGGATTATTATCCTCATATTTGTGGCGTAGCTAGGGTCCCACTCAGTCACAATGTCCCTAACCCTCTTTTGTTAGTGACATGGACTATTAGGAATTATCAATGAGGTGTTATATCTGTCCAACAAAGAGATAGCAGTGTGATCAATGGTACAAATTTCAACCCGGGCAGGTCTGGTACTTGCAAACCATGTGTAGTGGTAAGTATCTGTGGCATCTTTACTGCATGTGTAGTCCCAAGAGTTTTTCAATGGATTGTTTAAAATGTTGGACATGATGAAAGACATTGGTTTAATGAAATCCATTAAAAATCCATGGGGGCTAGGTGATAATCAAAATACACCATTAAATTTCATATGTATTGGTGATGAATGTTTTGGTTTTAAAACAGTTCTTACGACAACCTTAATCCGAATCTTCTTTGTTCAAGGAACCGTCAAGTGGAAGCGATGGAGTGGCTGCTGGAGAACAGCCACCGAGTGAAGGACATTCCGGACGAAGACAACTCCAAGTTGGACCCGGAAGATGAGAGTGATAACCCGGTGGCTATCATAGAGCGATTGTTGCGTAACATGTTGGACTTCCAGCGACGCCACTTTGAGCCCAACAGTAGAGCGGTGGAAGCACTCACTGCTATGGGGTTTAGCCAGGACGATGTGATAGAGGCACTCAGGGCTACCAACAACAACCAGGTGGCTGCTGTAAGTAAACATGTTTTTTTTAATTATTGATTTTAATAATATACTCTTGATTCTAAATTCTAATCCAGCTGCAGCGAGGACGTACAAGCAACATAGTTTGAATTGGAAGATGAATAAACATTGTCAAACTTGTTAAAAATCATTAAATTAATAAAGTTCCTCTATTATCTAACCTATAAATTTATCGTCCATTGATATGACAAAGATTTTTCCAATTAAAAGTTATAACAACTTACAGAAACGATATTGCTGTAATTGTAAATTTAAGATGAAGCAATACCCATCCACATTCAGCCTCTGGTCTCTGTTTGTACTGTCATTAAGACAAGAACATGGATAGGTGAGTTTGACAAACTGTATTGTATGCAATAGGAATTGTTACTTTGATGCACATAATAATGCTATTTTACAGTGACGATTGGATAACTGAACATCGCATCAACAAAACTCTACTGCATAGCTGGTTTTTACTTTCTCCCCCTATTCAGAGTATATGAAGAAAGTCTTGTTTTTTAGAACATTTTTTAATTTGAGATTGTTTTTGTTGTTTTTTTTTATGTGAAATTGTTGTTAATTTTTTATTGTTATATGTGTTGTTTTGGAAGTTATATCTGTAAGTGTCGATATGTAAATAGAGCTACAGATAATACCTATGGTCCGATTTTGGCCAAATTTGGTTTGTTCATAGTATCTCGGGGCATTTTTTGTTGTTATTTTATCGGTGATTTTCCCATAAAATAACGGAAAGTTGGACTTTCACAAAAACGGCTTGAACAATTTTAGGTAAAATTGAGTACGTTATAGGCTAGTCCTTTTAGCTCTAAAGAAAATGGTACAACCCCCTATGCTGAAAAAGTTAAGAGTTCAAAAGTTAAAGCAATTTTTGTGATTTTACCCATAACATTATCATAGTTGTTACTATCACTGCTTACCTGTTATAAACGTTTTTAACAAGTTAATGGGAGGAAGTACCTATGTGCTCATGCTGATACCATTTATTTTTCATTTTTTGTATGCCTAACTCTTAATATTTTTTAAGCAAAAGTTTAACAGAGAGCACAACCCCTATGTTGTAGTGTCAGTGGTTGTGTGGTGAGAGAGAGGACAGCATTGCTGCTACATCTCCTGGTCTAGACAAGGACGGCCCAATGTACAAGGCTTTGATGACCAATCCAACTGTTCAACTTGGACTGTACAACCCCAAAGTCTTATTAGGTAAGTAATGAAATAGCATCATTATTTTACTAAACCGATAGCTTAGGCCTATTGATATTTTTGTATACAAGTGCTTTGAATTTCAAATCTTCATGCCTGGTATTGCAGTTAATAAAAATAAAGCTTGAAAAATTTCAAGGCTGGAAAACTTTGGAAAAATATGAGCTTGGTTGGGCTCATACGTGATTGTCGCTTGAGAACTGTAGATGGGCGCACAAAGCTTCCACTAAGTGCAACCATACATTTCGAGAGTGCCAATGACTGCTCGCAATACATACAAGATTTCACCTACCACCATAATTAACTTATCATAACACACAGATCAACTTTTTAGTTGTATATAAAATTACATGTAGTTTATTTTTGCATTTTCTGTTGTTTTGTATATAACTAGACCGTTAGGCCTACTATTGGACATGAAAACTATACTAGCATACAAAACCATGAATAATTAACTATTTGACTGGTTTTGTGTAGTTTTATAACTGGAACAACCAAGCACTTTCATAGGTGCATTACCAGATGTTAGTAAGTTATTTTATTGAAAGGCACGAAATCAGCTGATTTAGTTAGCGCCTAGCGGGAATTAATGAAGCTGTAATGAGCTATTTTGTGTAGTGTTTACTGGCGTGGCAATGTGATCATTGCCATGTAGGGGTAGAAAAATTGCATATTTTGACTTATTATACTCATTTTTAATGAACTCAGGGATTCTATATCTAATAATTTGGTACCAAATTTTACTCTAGAAGTCACTCCTTTGTTTACGAAACCAATTTGTTAAGGTCACTAACCCATAAGAGTCTCCTGGTTAATGGCTTCTTTTTAGATAAGTCCATTTTTAATTACCTTAATGGTTGCCTGAGTTGAATTGATCTTGTAGAAATGTACATTTTTTGTCACAATTACGCCTATATTGTCACAATTAGTATAAGTGCACATGCTTTGTAAAGACAATGTAATACATATTTCTATAGTACAGTAGGTTTGGTGTAAGAAGACCTTGAGAATGTCGGACCATGCGGCAAAACACATACCTATAGGTCCAGAACATAAATTAAGAACTCAGGCAGTCATTGAGGTTAAATATTTATCAATACTGTGTGTACACAAATAACATTTCTTCTTTTCACAGCGTTCCTCAGTATCCTAGACAACTTTTCAAGCGCCAACCTGTGGCTGAACGATGTTGACACTTCTGTGGTGTTGGGTCAGGTGTTCAAGACATATCACTCAGAGAAACACATGATTATTGTCAATCAACAAATTGAACTGATGAAGAGAGCCAACGCTTCTTGACTCAGTTGTTGCATTTTTTGTTCAGGCTGTGATTTAATTTAATAAATTTAGTTACACAGTAGACCTTTTTGTTATTAAAAAACCCTCCACTCTTTAGAATTTAACATAAAAAAACAAGTAAAAGTGAGATTGAGTAAGGTACCTATTTTTTTTTTAACCGAACTACTTTAATTTTATTACAATAAAAACGTTCAACATGCATTTTTTTACAAGTGCTGATTACACAATAAAATCCAAAATTAAATGTACATAATTTATAATTTCTAAAGTCCACAATTAATCAATACAAATCATTTACAACACAGGATTTCCCTTATACTTAAAAAATATATATCAACAAAATATCAAACAACATATACAAACTTTTTTGCCCTTAATTTTGTTGTTCTAAAATTTAGATTTTGATGCCAAAATACTTAAAATAGTACAGAGCTTTGGGGAAGGCATACACAGGATATAGGGTGTTGAGTATGCTAATTATTTTATTTAAAAAGTTATCTTATATTTTAAAAGACTTTGTTTTTCTTTTCCGAGTTTGTTTGGTTCTTCTACCTGACCGATTTTCATGATTGAAGTCTCAAATTTAATAAATATTTATGCACGCCCAAATTTTAATAGCAATGATTTGTTTGATGGAAAACAGTTTTGTTTTAGAAAGACATACAGCACTAACACTGATTGAATTTATTTATGATGTTACAGAGGCTTTGAGCAGGTCTGAAACAACTGCTAGTGTTTTCTGTCCAAAGTCTTTGATTGTCTGGATCATTCAATTTAGCTTTCAAAGTTAAAAGACTATGGTATAAAGTGAATTTTTTTTTCTCTATTGGACTCTGATTTGCAGAATAGAAATTATAGAACAATAGTGACAAACAATTGTGTAAAACATATGTCAAACTAGAATTCATCCAATTATGGTGTACCTCAAGGGTCAATATTGGGCCCTCTATTTTTCCTGGTCTTTATTAAATAACCTCCCAAAAGCTATTGGCAGAGATTTAATATTATTTGCTGATGATACAACAGCAATCATAAGAGAGAACTCAGTAAATAACTTACTTCAATGGAAAACACTTTGGAGTTTGGACTATATGAAAAATTGGTATTCAGACAAAGGCTTAAAAATAAATATTGACCAAACTCTTTGAAAAACAGTGTAATTTTTTATAAAATTCCAAATATAGGCCTAGAAAATCTCATTCATTTTTTGGTGTATTACTAGACGCTCATATCTTTAATTTATAAATTGTGTAACCCAGGCTACATGTATCTCAGTTTATTATGGATACATTTAAATCCATCTTGAGGTATGTAGTCATACTAGAGGTCAAATCCCCACTAACTTTACAAAAAAAATCTTTAGAATCTTAACTAAGTTAAGGAGTGAAAACCTGTTTTTAGAAATCTTAGAATTCACACCATTTTCGGATTATACATAAATGAAATTCTAAATTGGGTCCATAGCACCAAAGAGAGTTTGTCAGATAAATATAAATTTACACATAATTACAATACAAGGAATAAATTTTAACTTCAGATTACCGCATTAGGAACAGCCCTCAATATATGAGACTAGGATTGGAAATAGAATTACCCTTGTATCTATAAAATTTAAATGTTACTCAATTCAAAAAGCAAATAAAAGATAAAATAATTTATAAAGCATACTATTCACTGGGAGAATATTTGTATCACTCGACCAAAAAACATAAATCTAATTTGATTTATTCTTTAATTCTTTTTTCAATTTAAGATGCATTTCACCAGATTTTGGTCTAAGAACCTTCAGTGAATTACCGGTTTTCATTTCAGCTATTATTTATTCAAATCAGACTAGTTTCAAGCAAACACAAGGTGAACAAGCCACATAAAAATAATTGTATTTATAAGGGAATTCTATGATTAAAAATCAATAGCTCCAGTTAGTACTGCTTATGTTTTTTGTTTTTTTAGATGTTTTAGACTCAAAACTATCAGTAAATTATAGGCTCTAATTTGAGCTGTTGGTTGTTTAAATCAGTTAAGTTCAAGATACTGTATTACTCAATCAAAAATCATAAATTTGATTATTTCTCGTATATGATATTTATTTCAACACTGTGGAGCAGCATAAGTCCTCTAAATCAAATCAAATCAAAATATTCTTTATTTTTAGTTTCATTAAGAAAATACAATGGCGTCATTAAAAAAAATTATTTATGACCTTTAGTAATTACTCTATATTAAAGACATCAGGAGTTGCAACAGAACAAGATGGTGTTGTGCCATTTTAAGTTAGCCAATTCCCAGTTATAGGGAAGGTTAGGAGATAAGTTCCATTACACAGACCACAGATTTTAGAACAGAAACTGTATGGATCATAAACATAAACAAATGACATAACTGGCCCGAAAGTAAAGATGTTTTTGTTATTATATTATTTAAATGGAACTGTCAAAAACCGCACAAACCAGCTTTTACAGCAATTAGTATAGAGATTCGGGCAAGTGACCTCGTTTGTTATGATCCATACTTTTTCTATTCTAATATCCGTGATACAGAGTACAGACTGTATCCAAAGTAAGTGGGACCACACATGCATGGATATCAGTTATTAATCAATCAAAACAGTAAAATATCCCTTTGAAATTGTGTTAACTTTGAGCAAAACCTCCCTAAATTACACAATAAGGGGTTTTCTGACTCTAGAACCAGTAGGTCATCTTCATACTGCCCCGAGAGTCTAATGGTGTCTCCATAATGCTGGCTTGTCTAACGAGCCGCGGCGGACGACGGCCCAGTAGAGCACTTTCCTTGTCTGGCGTAGACAGTGAGAGACTCATAGCTGGTCTGTAGGTCTGGGACTGTAGTTCCACCTCTACAGGCGCGTCCAGGTCCTCATAAGAGGTGTTGATAGAGTTTGGCCTGTGAAATGGATTTGTCATTTATAGAAAATAAACTGTCAGCAATCTGATACATACTTTCTCCCATTAGCTTGTCAACAACCTTTGAAATGGGTAAGCAGTGGGAGTAACTATGATTTTTTATAAGGGAAAATCCCAAAAGTTGCAATAACTTTTGGACCGTAATTTTTTTCAGCAATGGGGGATCGTACTATTTTGTTTAGAATCTTAAGGATCATAACACACTGTAATTTTAATTAAAACCAGCTTTTTTCTATAATCTGATTTTTTATTATTTTATGGGGAAATAACATAAGTTACAATAACTTTTGGAACGTAATTTTTACGGAAATGGAATTTGTACAATTTTGTTTAAAATTTAGAGGACTATAACATACGAGATTTTTATCAAAATCTTTCGGGCCATTCCAGAAAATCCAATTTTTCCGTTATTGTTAGGGTTTTTATGGAAAAATCAGCATTAAAAATCTAAATTTCAAAAAAAATGAAAACAAGCATGGAGATACCGATACCATGGGTTAACCTAACCTACATACCAATTTCATCAAAATCGGACTACAGGTGTGGTCTGTAGCTCTGTACATATCCACACACACACACACACACACACACACATACGGGGTTTTACCGAATACTCGCAAACACCTAATTGTGGCATCTTTCAACCTGCGGCCACCAGTGGATGAAGGAAGTTGGTAGAAACATGTCTGCATCGATATTTTTAATGAACACTCCATTTTAACATCTAACATTCCAGTTTTTAAATTGTGGCACCATGCCACAAATCGGTATATATCAACAGTGTGTGGACAGGATGCCACTAATGCGTTGTAGTGCTTGAGCGGTGTGTGCGCCCCCCCTACTTCTCGCGTGCGCTGTTGCCAGTTCTCCGTTCTAGTTCCTTCATTCCGTTCTGTATTCATGTGGCTATGCCCTAGCCGCTGTAGCTCATTTCCCGCGCTCATGACGTCGTCTTTTATTAGTGTAAGGATTTTATATGAAGTTTTTTTCAAAGCTCCAATAATTTTTACAATTATTGGATTTAAAGTCAATGGACCAAATTAAATGTCGTGAGGATTACATAACACTACATGCTATTTTGTTGATATTTTATCGTCACATTTATGTATGGTTTACGAACTGAGATACTTGGAATAAAGGCCTTAATGTGCTGGGTAAATTATCAGTTTCATGGGAATCTATATATTAATTACGTAAGCCGATTCTTTGCGTCAAAATTGTGGGCGACTGGGAAGTCGTAGAACGACGTGAGAGGGCTCAAATTAAAGGTCTTTATCCCGTGACGGCGGGAAAAATAGTGAAATTCCCAAAATCTTAACACAAAATTAGATATAACGTACAATGTTCTCCATAAGAATAGCATTAGAAGGCATTTACTGCTGATTTTTGTTTACTTCAATCCAGCTGATCGTGATTTTATCATTAGCAAGTAAGCTTACATTTAGATTACTCATTTGCCAGTCAATTCTGCAATGTAATGTATACTATATAAAACCAACTATATAAAGGGATAACGTTACCTTTAATAATCAAGACTTTTTAGTTATGTCAAAGTTGAAATAAATTGTTTTCAAGATTTAAGAAACGATTCAAGATTAAAAGAAGATCTTCTTTGTTTTTATTTCAAAACATATGTAAAAGATTTATTCCAATTTTTTTTTAAATTTACTAACATTTATATTTGAGATTTATTGTAGTGTTTAATCAATATTTTGTATGAAGTGGAATAACCTCAACGGTTACTCTTAGAAAACAATTTGGGAATAGAGATGAAGTAGGTTCGTACAGGTATTTAAACGAACCAAAAATATTTATGTCGTGATTAGTTTCGATAACTGGGTAATGGAACCCTAACTAGCCGCAAAATAGTTGGTAATTAGACGTTGACTAGGCCCTTTTTTGGTAGAATATGTAAATCAATCGCACCTTTAGGAGGATTAACACCACATACTTACACTAGGCTAATAGTGGTTTTTTAATGTTGATCACAAACAAATTTAGGTCCAAGTTCTGTCAATGGGATGCCTTTACTTAAGAATAATTTTGTTAAACCTTTACAAAATGAGCATAGACTTAGAAATAATAACTGGGTAGGGTATCTCAACACACCATTTTTTGCCTTTTCTTATTTGACGAA